CCCTGTTTCGGTATCGGCGTATTGGTTTTTACCGTGTTTTCGCGGGTGTTGCCATTCGGCACTTTCAGGGTCGTTGGGCATCAGGGTGGTCGTCCGGTGGCGTTTTTTGTAAGATTTGGAATGGCCCCGGGGTTGCGGATACCACCCAGCTCTTTCATAGCTTGTTTATAGAGCTTGTCAATAGACGTAGAGCTCGGCTTTCTGTTACCTGCTTCGTGAGAAGGACGACTGACAGGGCCAGTTTCGCGGTTTTTGTCAGAGTCGCCCATTGTTTCTTGTTCCGAACCTTGCGAGAATCGCTGTCGGGCGTCTGGGGTTGCCTGGTGGGACAGGCCCCCCACTGTTGTATTGATGGTCACTAGGTGCGATATGGTCACTCACAGAGAACTTCACCGGCTTGAAACTGAGATTTACACAAAACCGAGCGGGGGGTGAGGATTTTTACACAAAACCGAGCAGGGCCCGAGAGGATCATGCGAAAACAAGTCTGATCTCTTCGGATGCTGCACTAAGAATCGCTGTGGACGCTCCTTGGGGCCCTTCGTGGCAGGACGGTCCCTCAGGTGTTGGGAGGACAACGCCGTCCGGCGATGTGGGGCTCTTTGGAGACGCCCCAGAATTACCACCCAGTGGCATGATGGGCTGCTCTCTGCGGTGTGTGTGGGCTGTCCGAATGACGTGGGAGGAGGCAGGGAGGGGAAACACAAGCAGGCGACCTGTGGCCTGGATCCGACGCTGGATCGCAGGCTGCGCGGAGCGCTACCGATAAAAAAGGCGAGCGTGCACCGTAAACGCTACACACTCGCAAGATTGACCGGGCGCCCCTCCTGATGGAAGGAGTAGTTGCTAGAGGGGATGAGTCGTTGGCCGAGATTGGTCTTATGGCGTGACGCTCACCAGCAGGGGGATCCCACCCACCTGACTGGGTTCACGACTAGTTGCCAATCTACGTTTCCACCCTTAACCACGAGGAGGTCGACTCGTCTGACTTCCGTGGGGGATCACTGGGTCACAAGACAACTTTACAATGCTTCGGTTCACCTCACTGCCTGATGGGAAAAGTCCCTTAATGATCGTGATGCCGTCGGTCACCAGAACCGACACCACCAAGTAACGTGGAGAAGTCCCCGCTGAGCTCGAAAGCCCGGGTTTAGCTAAGGGACGGCTATCCGCACGTTCTGGTTGCGAGCGATTG